CTAAGATTGTGATGTTGATGAGATAAGAAACTAAGAGATCTATAGAGAGAAGTATTGTGAGAATGAAGATTCTGACCACAGGACTGCAGGTGTCCAGTGCTTCCCCTATCATCAGCGAACGAGAAGGAGCGAAGAGAGCAGAGCAGAGCAGAGCAGAGCAGACAAGGGGTGCAGAGGTCGAGTCATAGCGAATGCCGTGGAAAGCGCAAGGGCTGCACGAAGGATGAAACTCACAGACCCTCGGCGACGCCATGAAAGGGATTTCAGAGATGCTGCAGGCGGTGCTTCAGGCTCTTGGTAGAGCCGCGGGCCTCATGCCGAGCAGCAAGGCGAGAGATGCTCAACTGACTCGCCGACCCTCGTGGGCTGAGAGCAGCAGCTTCAAGGACATCCACGAGAGCGTCAAGAAGGTCTCGCCAGACAAGAGCCTCGCCATCGCCACCAAGCACCTCCCGCTAGGAAGCGTCTTTCGCTGCTCCAACACCATCGCTGCCGCCCTCTCCTTCACCATCTTCCAGCTGTTCTACACCTCTGTTGGGGTTCTTGGCCTCTACGGCCTCGCCAAGGAGAAGGTGTGGTATGGCATGAGCGGGAGAGCTCTGTCATCCTCCAAGTTCAGCTTCACCATCCTCGAGACGAGATCTGCTCAGATCCGGCACTGGTCTGACCTGCCGGCTTGGGGAGTCAGCAAAGAAGGGCACTTGCTCTCCCACAACCACTCGCAGGCTGTGAAGCTGCGGGAGGACGGGGCGGTCACCCTGGAGCTTTCGCTGGAGGATCCGATCGATTTCGATGGCTGGTTCTTCAACACGTCTGCGTCGCGTCCTCCCGAGTACGACCCCGTCAAGTTCAAGGTCACTTGCTCGCTGCCGCCTGCTCCCCCCCACTTTGCCCTCTGACCCTCTCGCGCAGTTCCACTACTGGACGGGCGACCGCTGGCAGGCTGCTGGGTCATCCTCGGACATCGACTATGCAGGTGGAGGAGGAGGAGGAGGAGGAGTTTGGTACCTCCGCCGCATTCTCACGCATCTGCTCCCTCAGGCTCAGTCATCTACCTGGACGGCTACTTCCCCACCAGCAGTGCCCGCGGGTCTTGTCACACCTTCTCGATCTACAAGCCAATCCCAGTGCGAACTGTGGACTTTCTCTCCCGGCTCACCTCCTACTCGCTCATCGCGACCGCTGGCTTTCTCGCCGTCTTCAAGAGGAACTTTCTAGCGCAGCACATCAGCCTCCTGGTTCACCCCTCCATGGTCGTCCTCTTCTCCTTCGAGGCCCTCTCCACCTCCCCGCTGGACGTCAGCTGGTCGACGCTGCGAGCCTTCGTGCTGGTGGTTCTCCACTCGATCCACTCCATCATCATGCTGCAGAACGAGATGTCCAACAACTTCATCTGGCGCGGGTGCTACCTCCTCCTCTTCGGCCTCTGCACGGCTGGACGAGACTTCTTCGGCCCCAAGGACTGCTCTTCCGAGTGCATCCGCAGCGGCAGCATCTTTTTCTTCCTGGGCACCTTATTCAAGATCCTCGGGTGGCACTCCAAGTTATCGGCCATCAACTCAGTGAAGGAGGACGCGAGGAAGTACAACCTCATGTGGGAGGAGCTGATGCTTCGCCCGTCCACCCTCATGCTCGTTCGCAAGCTCGAGCACACCTGCGAGATGCTCGAGAGCGTCGCGCAGGTCAACCGCGTCGCCGACCTGCCGAGGAGCGCGGTGGTGTCAGCTCTCTTCCAGCACATCCAAAGGCGGTGCAGGCAGCGAGACGCGCACGGACAGCTGGTGAGGGAGCTGGAGACGCTCTACATGCAGGCCCAGCAGCTCCAAGTTGTTCTCCGCTCCAAGGTGCTGCAGTGGGCGGCCATCTCCGACGGGTACCTGAGGGCAGTGAAGGGACAGGGGGGAGGGGGGGGGCTGGTGTCGGTGCGGGAGGACCTGGACAAGAAGAGCATCGGCTGGGCGAAGCTGAAACGAGTGGATCGGGCGGTAGAGAAGATCATGAGATGCTACGGGGGCGATGTGTCAATGATCGTCGATATTTGCCGTCAGGACATCGTCTTCGACGACGTCCAGCAGATCATCACCTGCCTCCGCGCCATCACCAACGACAGGGACGTGCACATGCTGGGGGTCAAGAACTCGCTCTCGACCAAGTTTGACTCGAGCAGGAGCGCGGGGTACCGGCACGTGGCCCTCTACTTCAACATCAGCAACAAGGAGACCATCGCAAGCCGTTGCTCGCGGCACGTGTGCGAGCTGCAGCTGGTGCTGTCAAAGTTCTACAACCTGAAGAGCAGCGAGGGGCACCGGCGGTACATCTGCTTCCGCAACCTGATGGGGGAGTGAGGGACAGGGACAGGGGGGGGGGAGGTGGGGGGAGAGGGAGCGAGAGTCGTGGTGGGTGTGGGTTCAGAACAGCTTCATTGGTTAGCAGTTTGGCTTCAATGGCTATGAATTTATCGAGCTCGTAGAGATACACATGCATGTTTGAGTTGGATCACTTAAACGAACTCCTTTGACACACTCACGGTGTCGCCAAGAATGTCGTGCGCGCTCATGATCATGAAGGAAACCACAACCTTGGAGACGACGTCGATGATGCAGTAGGCGCAAACCTGTCAAGATGGTGAGACGAGGGCAGGAGGGAAGGGGGAGGGAGGAACGGATGGAGGTGAGGAGGAATTTCACCTCAAAAGAGACGGAGAAGGAGGCAAATCCTTCGGAGAAGAGCCAGACGATGGGGTAGCAGAACCAGGTGAGGATGATGAGCCAGGCAGCCTTGCCGTAGAGCTCAGCGATCTCAGCGCCACGCTGGTTGGAGGCTTCCTTGAAGCTTCTGGCAAGGTTGACGATGACGCCAGCAAGGCCGATCAAGCTGACCAAGAACCAGAACCACTTGACGGTGGTGACAACTGAAACAGCTCCCATGTACGAGCACAGAACCCACACGACTGTCAGGGTGTCAGTCAACCTCCAGGCCCCTCTCAAGGACTGACTGTCAGCTCCGACGGTGTTGGCGATGGTAGCTGCGTCAGCGCCCGCGACGAGACCCAAGAGGAGGATGACGAGAGGGGTGGTGACGATGTAGTCCGCGTACCTGCACCATGTCACATTCCCGTCCTGTCTCCCTTGCCCAGCGCCTACCTGGCATAGAAGAACTGGCGGCATCCAGCAACAGCAGTCCATCCCTGGCCAGAGAGCATGGCAAAGTATGCCATGGCCGCGAAGCCGCAGATGTAGGTGGTGCACGTGTAATACCTGACGATATGAATGAGGATGGAGAGACAGCAAGCAAGCGACTGTCGCACTTCCTCTGCTCTCCGCTGACGTTGGCCTTGGAGAGGAAGACAATGGTGCTAACAATGAGGATAACAAACCCTACGGTGAGCGCTCCGACTCCGGTAGATCCCACCTCCTCGATAGTCGTGCACGCAATGGGCGTGTCATCAGCGAGAATCTGGAACATTGCTGCCAACCAAGAGAGTCAGTCGTCATGGCCTTGCAATCCAGACAAGAACTTCATCGTCACAATGACATTAGGGCGTCAAACTACTTCACCCTGACTGCGATCTCTGCTAGAAACATAACTAGAGCCTGACCATACTAAGATTGTATGTGAGGAAGCTGGTGGGAGCATGGATAACACCCATGGATCAACCCAAAGCAACTACGACAGAGAGTAGACTTCATGTCTACAACTTGAATGAGTAAATCTAGAAAGTCTTCACAACTCGAAACTTCGTAGACCATAGCGCAAGAGCTAAAACCACACCTATTCCCCCTTTTCATCAAGGTTGTGCTCATTTTTTCATGTGACTCTCCTAACCTCTTCCCTCCAAGACCTTGTTTGCCTTAAAGAAGCTTCTCCCTGCGCAATGCTCCAATTTCACGATGGCTTCACCACAGATCCTACTGCATCCATCGCTTCCCTTTGATACTGCTTTTGATTCCTTCCTCCTCCTCCTCCTCCTCTTCTGATCCTCCTTCCTCTCCCCCTCCTCCTCCGCCCCCGCCTCCTCCTCCTCCTCCCTCTCTCCCTCCTCCTCCGCCCCCGCCTCCTCCCCCTCCCGTGCCCCTCGCGTCCTTCCGCCATCGCGTCTCTTCGACTCTTCGCGAACAGACGTCTCTGAGAAAAAAACTTGACTAGAGCCACCAGGGCGAAGTACCCCACCCCAGTGTGGGTGG